CACCTTCTGTATCCATACGGGAAGGAACGGTAGTGGTTATTATCATCGACAACGCGCCCCCTCTGTCTTGGCCTCTAGGAGTCGTGGAAAAGGTTCACTGTTCTAAAGACGGAAAAGCACGAGTCGTTACTGTAAAAACTGCCAAAGGCAGTTTTGTACGTCCAGTGGTGCGCTTGTGCCCACTACCAAATCAATAGCCGGCATGATGCTTAGGCTAAGTACATAGTTATAGTAGGTATATATATTGTATTTTCGTTTTATTAATTATCAGTAGTATCAGTAGTATTATATTGTATATTTTATATTAATATAATTCTTTAAAGGCAACCCTTTAGTTTCTCAAAAAAATCCACATTTACCTTATGTTGGGGATAAGGTTCACTTTTCAATATCTTGCGGAGTAAAAGAAACTAACGTGTTGACTTTAGGGATGTTTATTTGCGAGTGCAAAGAGAATGTAATCACTACGTTTACGGTGTGCGAGTGATTTCTAAAATAAGTTACGAGTGAGAGAGCATAGACATTTGACAAGCAATGTCCACAGATTATTAATATATACAATGCGTTGCCGGCGGGTTTACTCATGAATAAAAAAAAACAAACAAAATTATACTTAACACCCTCTGAACTCTTAAATCCTTCTTGGGCGTTCTTACCCCCCTCACCCCGCACGCCTACGTATGGTATATATAATGCGCCGAGAGCAGTCGGCACGAGAGTAATACAATACTAACTACCGCGCCGCGATCTTATAAAATATATTAAAGGTGATAGGGAAGCTTTGTGCGCACTAAAGGAAAGGACAACCGCAAATTCGACCGCCACCTCGACAACATCTGCATCTGGAGTTGAATCCTGAAGTAGCTACGGAGAAGGCGCCTTGCAGTTACTAAGGTAGGCGTGCAATTTACGTAATGAACGCCCTTTCCTTTTCACCAGCATCCTTTTTACAGTCCGAAATCGAAGGGACACAAGCTTCATGAAATTATTTAGACCATTATCAACAACAAATATTGAGTGAACGTATCCTGGAGGATTAGTTAAACTTTCGGAAATATATATATTTTTTTAATTTTGTAACTACTCGGCACTACTGTAAACACTTACGACCTATGATTTATAATATATATATATATATAATAATTATAGAACTTCAAAGCGTTCTTACTGTTCATCGTATCCTCTGTAACGTGGTTGTCTGGAAGAAGGCAGGCGCTTCTAAGCGATAAGGACGCCAATTGTAACTTTATGTAATTGTTTGTTACTTTTTTAATCAAAACATTTGTATCAAACGTTGCATCGATAGTCATACATAATCTTGCGTATGGAAAAATAAGCTCATTTAACCAAAAAAAATTGCTTAACAATTTTTCGATTACAGTCTTATCAAACTATTCACTTTCCGAATAAAATGTTTAATCTCCATAGAGAAGTGCATTTATGCCCGAAAAAAAGAGTATAAGGCAGTATTAATGTTATCCATTCGGATTTAGTTCAACTTGAGTTTATAGATATCAGAACATTGGCAAACAAAAATCAAAAAATTGGCAACATTTTGTCAAACTGGTTTACAACCAGTTTGACAAAATGTTCCGTTAGGTTTGTTCTTTTTATTTTCTTACGAAAACGATGCTTCCTTAATATTCATTAAAAATAATGAGGAACGATCGTCTGAAATCAAAAGTAGTTTTTTAGAAATGATACTTGGGGAACGCCCATTATCTTTATTTTATGATAAACTAGCTGCTGCCCGCGACTACGTCTGCGTAGAATAGGCTGAACGCGTAACATTTAGACAGAAAGAAGATATACATAAAATATGTATATAAATTATAGCCTATGTCTTATTCTGACGTATAAGCTATATTATTGTTAAGTTTCATTAAAATCCATTCAGTAGTATTTGCGTGAAAGACTAACAAACATCCATCCTTATAATATTATCCTTTCGCCTTTATAATATTAGTAGGAAGTAGGATGTGCCGCTTTCAGTGTCTTAACTATATAAAGCTTTTGTAAGATTAATTTTTATTTTTAGTGCTAGTCTCTACACTCAAGATCAAACTTTAAGTTATAAATTTTTTTGTAGATCAATGAACTATCGCCCCTTTTAGAGCCCAGTTGATACTTAATGGTGCGTGCTGGTAAGCACAGGCGAGTATCAATCGGACTCCAACTTGCTGTGCTTACTAAAGCGTTCCCGTGGCCTTTTTAATGTGCGCCCTGTGGAACTGGTCTGGCCCCACGTGAACAAAGGAATTCCAAGAAAGTGAAACGAGCGAAGGTTTGGCTAATTATTTCGCGCCGGAGACGATTCTAGAAGAAATTAAATAATACGTGCGATAAGGACGTTCAAAGCTTACAGGGCGGTTTCTGATGTATTTGAGTTCACCTGCTCTTGGAATATTTTTTTTATTTATTACTTTTTTTTAAAGTGAAATTTTTTGGTCCATCTATCGCATGTCGCGTTACAGCCGGCCGCGGAGTAGAGGTAAATTGATATTGAACTGAAAATTTTCAGTTGAATGCTATCCGAAAAAAAGTTTCACTTGCATCGTCGTTTCATAAAACCGCACAATCTGTTCTTTTTTTCTTAAACAACATAAAAATCTAGACATTTGTTAATAATTTGAACTATCCCTGAACAACCCAAGACTATAAGGACTGCTTATAAATGGCGAACAAGCTAAGCTATGTTATATGTTATCTCAGACTCGTGTGTGAAGTCTGCGAGACTATCCATCGGTTTGGAGCAACTCTCCTTCTAGTCTCTTTAAGCTGAACAGGTTTTTGTACAAAATAATCGCTCGATCGCAAGTCAAAAGCATAAAAATCCATTCTGGACGGTCAAAACGAACCGCGACAGCGGCGTAGAGAGATGAAAACAACCAGTTGTCCATATAGAGAACAAAGTTCTTTATAAGAAATATTGCCACAATAATATTTTATGTGAAATTTACACTCGCTGCGGAAGGAACTCTTCAATAAGCAGGTACACATTGCAGTTTTTAATAAATATCATTGGTTTAATATGAGTATCAATAATTTGAGAATATAACAAATTGTTGTATTTTTTAGAGTTTTCGTATTTTAATCAAATTTAAATTAATTTTAAGGATGTTTTTTATTTTTTATTTAAATTCCCGAAGTGCATTAATTATCACGGGACGTTTTGTACGATAAAAGTTCACTATTGCCAAAAAGTCCTTGCAAATATTCTGAAAGAACCAACAGTATTATCATCAAGTCTTAGCTTTGATTTCTAGTGATGTGTACCAACCTTTCAGGTATTAGAGATTGCTAACTTGAGAGGGTTTAAAGTAGTGTCAATGGCAAATGTGATATCGACCAGTTATGGCTTAACGTTGAAGTAAAGTCGTACTTACATAACTCGCAGGCAGAAATCCTTATAGTACCATTTAACTTTAATAAATTATTATTGTTTTAAAATTCAATAAAATCTATTCAACAACTCATGTATGTGTAATAAAGTATTTTTACTTTACACTGGTCTTCAGCAAACAATGAAAATTTCAACTAATGTAAATAATATTCGGTCTGTTTAGCCTAAAAATAATAATTAAATCTTTTAATCAGGCACTGATCCTCTGTATCTCATTTGTGTTCAGATATCGGCGACAAGGCTAATATAGTGTAACGTCTATGTGAGTAAATCATCATTTTCTCTCTCCTCCTGTTATCCACTTAAGGTGGGGTTAGCACAACAAATCAACCATAATATTGTGAATGATATTGGTAAGATTTAATGATGACTCCGTGGCGCAGTTGCCAAAGGCTTTGGCGTCAGGGGTCGTGGGTTCGATTCCCACACGGGACAACTATTTGCGTGATCCACAGATAGTTTTTTCGCATCTGGGTGTTTGTCTGCGTAAAATTTATGTTTGTAAAACGTCATTACAACACAGGATAATATCATCCTTAAGTAATGGCAATGTTTTTTTTATAAAAAAAAAATAAATAAATAAAAACGGTGGTAGGGCCACGCAGCGGCCTCGGCTGTTGCGCGAATGGGCAGGCACGTCCGGGTAAGTATCTCATAGAAGACCAGCGTAAAGTGGAAGTATGACAAATACTTTCGCGTCTTGTATAGTGAGTGAGGTAGGCGGAGCCCAATTTTCAAAAGGTTGTCAACGCACCTGTAACTCTCGGGTGTATCAGATGTCCATGGGCGGCGGTATTCACTTAACATCAGGTGAACCGTCTGCTCGTTTGGCAACTTTTCACATTAAAAAAAAAAGATTTTAAGACTCGCCACGTACCTGACGTCAACTCTCCTTGGAGAATTTAGTCTAAGAAGAACTTAATTTTGTAATAGATGTTAAGCAATGTTGTGTTGATGTACTATATTATTTCTTGTTAACCCTACAGGGCGATGATATCGCCCAGCGATAAAGCTCTTTTCTAATAAATTAAAAAAAACTCCTTGGAAATAAACACCGAGATCCGGAACGAGTATCTGTGGGTCTCACGATTACTTATGCCGTGTTGGAATCAAACCCACGACAATAGCTTAGCAACTGCGCCACGGAGTTTGTTAGCTTAACCTTAGCAATTAATATTGCAATTAAAAATTATAAAGGTTTCACCGGTTTTTTCAAAGGTTCACATGATGATAATGTCAGTGGGTAGCGGAAAACATTTAGCATCAGGTGAAACGCCTGTTCGTTTTCCAACTTTTGACATAAAAAACCGGCCATCATCTGTGAAAATTTCAACTGTCTAACTATCACGGTTCATGAGATACAGCCTGGCGAAAGACGGACAGACAGACAGCCGAATCTTAGTACTTGTTACCCTTCGGGTACTTAAAAAGGAACTGGCGAATGTGGACTCAAATTGCCTATGTCTCATTCCAGTCCCAGGGCATGTTTCTACAGTCTTAGTAATAGGGTCCCGTTTAACCCTTTGAGTACGGAACCCTAAAAACGTTCCACGTGGTCACGCTTTAAGGCGTGAAATTTATTTTTCTGCAGATAAACATGTTGCTGGTACTCTTGGTGGTTTGCGTGTTGCTCTGGTGGTGGTATCAACGCCGACGATCATATCTGGAGCCACCGGAGTACCCTGGAGCCCTACCGGTGCTCGGACATTTACACCTCGTTCTGATCGCGAATAGTGCTAGTGAGTAATTTTTATTTTTTGTCAGGGACTACTTTCTTTTAATTGTGTATACCGACCCGATTGACACAGTGGGTATTAAACCTGCGTATTGCCCTAGAGGATGTGTGTTCGATCCCCACTACTGGAAATATATAGTATGATGAACATAGTTACCACTATATGTGCGTAATATGTATTTATTTACAACAGAAAAGTATGTTTAAAAATGTTCATTACTTATCTAGTACCCATATTACAAACGTTGATTACTTTGGGACTAGAGAACGTTGTGTAATAATTTGTCTTTGAAATATGTATTATTTAACTCCGGTCTCTTTTTCTAAACATAGCTTTATTACGCATGAAAGCTCAAAGGAAAGTCAATGACAATTTTTTAAATATACGCATTTTTTAATAATTTACTTGCATGAAGCCTTCCATTGAAACTTTAGTATACCTTCAAAAGGCGACATTTTTTTTCTTATAATATAAAACATCGCGCTGTGCGTTTGAACTCATTTTCTGTTGTAACTGTGATGCGTTTTGTTACAGATTTATTTTCCATTTTGCAAAAAGTGTCCTATTACTCCTTGAAGACGGGAAATGCAACGGTTATCCATTTGGGAACTCGTTCCCATTATTGTAAGATTTCATTTTATAAATGTTTATCTATAATAATTGCTTTAAATTACGTACCTAATAATACTATTTTGCTAATAAAATATTGGGTAAATGTTCAGAAAATGGCGAAATTAATATTGCAATTGATGCTAATGCAAATTAATGCTCTAAATATGTATATAATGATCTAAAATAATATTATTTTTCATAACTAACATTAATTATGTAAAATAATCTTATTCTAGAAAGAAACCGTTACTAAATGAATCAGAAACATGATATTTTAGTGGTTACGTACAGTTATCGAGAAAACTCAACTCTTCCATGCGGTCTTACCAGAACTCTTCTGGCTCCGCATTTGATATTCACTCTAGGTGTGGGGAACACAAGACCACATGGGATTGAGTTACTCTGTGTCGGATCCGTGACTCATTTTGAACTTTATTTTTACCTAAAAATTTCGTAGGCCAGTCCTTTAACTGGGTATACTTAGATTAGCAAAAGATAAAGAACTTTAATAACTTCTAGGATTAACGCAGATATTTAGCCATATTAGGTATAAAATTATTTTACGGATTTTATCGCGTTTTTTATTACATAAAAACATATTTTTATTTACAATTACAGTATGTTTTTATTTTATGTGAGACGGTGAAAGCAATCTGGCGGTTCATCTGAAGTGATAACCGCCGCCTATGCACATTTGCAACACCCATAGAATCGCAGATGCGTTGCCATCTTTTAGTAAAGTGGCCCCGATTACCTAACTCACCAGACGAAACGCAGAAGTATATATAGAAGTATAACACTTCACTTCACGCCGGTCTTTTGAGTGGTAGTGGAACTTCTCCAGTTTGACCTGCCCCTTCGTGCAACAGAGAAGACTGTTGTGTGGTCCTACTACAGTTGAATATATGAATATCATATTAGATACCGTTAAAAAGTTTTCGCACGCCTTACAGTGGTTTCAGATCCTGACGACGCCTTAACCGTTGCGAACACTTGCTTCAAAAAGAATTTCATGTACAAATTCGCGAAGCCATGGGTTGGAAACGGACTGATTACGGCGTCAGGTTGGTGGTCATAAATAGTTTAGGTTAGGTTAGGTACGAGTACTTTGTTAGAGCGTTATTTTACAGGGGCGAAATTTCACACAAACAAAGCCGAGCTTATGCCAGGAAAACGAGCCCTGGGACTAGAACTAGACAGGAAGTTTGAGTCCACATTTACAAGTTTCTTTTTAGGGTTCCGTACCCAAAAGATAAAACTTACTAAAATTCCGCACTGTATGTCTGTCTGACTATATGTCTGTCTGACTATATGTCTGTCTGTCCGTCTGTCATCAGGCTGTATTTTCACGGTGGGCCACACAGGGCCACGTAGCAGCCTCGGCTCTTGCACCTATGGGCAGGCTCGTCCGGGTAAGTACCACGACCTCACAGAAGACCGGCGTGAAGTGGAAGTATAATAAATACTTTCGCGTTTCGTGTGGTGAGTGAGGTAGCCGGAGCCCAATTTTCAAAAAGTGGTTGTCTAGTATGGGGGTCGAATCCACTTCCATCGACGCCGAAATACGTTCACAACTCCTCCTTAGTGTTAGTCTTCATACAAATAACGTTATTCGGTTCGTCACAAAACTATAAACAACACCATGTTACTTTAACAGTGCCAATCTGGAAGCAACACCGCAAGGTGCTGAACCCGACGTTTAGTTTGCTGGTGTTGAACAGCTACATGGAAGTCTTCAACAGACAGGCGCGTCGCCTGGTAGGAAGGCTGTCGAACCACGCAGGTCAAGGGCCATTTGACCATCTTCTCGAGACGCGCCAGATCGCTCTCGAAACTATATGCAGTAAGCTGACTTCTCATCTGTATGCATTCATTTCTACCGTTTTATTTATTTTATGTCAGAAGGTGGCAAGGTATCTGGCGGATCACCTGATGTTAAGTGATGACCATCGCCCATGTACATTTGCAATACCCGTAGGGTTTCAGATGCGTTGCAACGTTTTATAAACTCAGCCCCGGCTACCTCACTCACCAGACGAAACGCAGAAGTATGACACTTCTACTTCACGTCGCTCTTCTGTGAGGTCATGGCACTAACCCGGACGGACCTGCCCATTCGTGCAACAGCCGAAACCGGTGCGTAGCCCTACCACTTAAAGTGTAGTGTGTGCCAGCTTTGACCTTTCATTGAGATTGACAACGCTTTCAAATAAGATACGCTCGGATGCATATATCTAGTTCAGGCTTAATTGAAAGGCTTACTGAAACCTAATTCAGGCTTGAATGTGTAGAAAAGAAAAGAGAACAGCTATCTATGAGCATGAGCCGCAACTGGGCTCCGGAATATCATCATCATCAGCCGCCGGACGTCCACTGTTGAACATAGGCCCCTCCCTTAGAACGCCTCAACGAACGACACTTTGCCTTTTGCATCCACCAATGTCTTTATCCAACATAGGAGTATTACACTCGGTTATTGATAGTCAAAATACTACCACCGGTTCGGAAAGTTCACTGTACTGAGAAGAACCGGTGAAGGAAACTCAGCGGGCTTTTTTTTATTTTATTTTTTAAATAAATAGACATGAATTCATTAGTCGTCCATATCGTCGGTCCACCTACAGGGAGGCCTTCCAACTTACTCCCCATCGGTCATCAGTTCTTCGAGCGATGTTGCCTACCCACTGCCACTTCAACTTGCAAATCCGGAGAGCTCCGGAATACACTCACTCATAATAACAGTTATTAGAGAGATATTTCAAACAAGTTCCATTTTATCATCTTTCGCTAAGACTCAGTTTAAATTAGGCTGAATGAAAAGGTGAATGAATTGCAATTAACAGTTTTGTTTCATCGCCGCTTTCAACTCGATTCGCTCGATTGCAAGGAGATCATAAGTGATCATACACCGCGCTCTGGTTAAGGAGTCTGATGAAAGTATCACTGTTTAGTGGTTGCTATCTCTGTCTGTGAATGAAGCTTGTACATGAATTTTTAAAATGTTTTCTACATTACTTTTCCACGGTGTGAATGATTTCGAGAATTTAGAATAGAAGAATAGAATAGAAAAATCTTTATTGATCGTACACAAACACCGTTTACAAAAATAAATAAGAAATTAACTAATTTACATATAAATACAATTAATAATTTACATATAATTGAATAAGATAATAAATACAAAGTTGGCTTATGCGACGACAAAAAGGTAGTAGCTCAGCATAATGCTACGGTTAAGGTAGCGCTGATTTTCAGCTGACGCCTACGAATGTGAGTCACTATTTCAACTCAACATCTTCAACCCTTATACTTCACAGTGACCGCAATGGGTTTGGATTTGACTGACGATGCACTTATCGATGGCAAATATACTCGTGCGGTGAATGAAGTAATGAATATATTTCTGCGACGCTATTTAGCACCTTGGCTGTATTTCGACTTCATATACCAGAGGAGCGACTTGAAGAAGAAACAAGACCAAATCGTCGAGATACTGCATAATGTTTCTGATGGAGTAAGTGATTACATATTGTATACTAGCGACCCGCCCCTTCTTTACACGTGAAATGTAGATATTGATATGAAATTTCACGGCTTTTCTCTACTATAATATGCATGTATACTACATATAAACTCCGCTTGAATCACTCAATCTGTTGATGGATCGCATTAAAATCCGTTGCGTAGTTTAAAAGATCTAAGCGTACAAACATCGTGAGCGACTTTTTTTTTATACTATGTAAAGATTACAGAAATATAAGGCAGGAATAGGCCAAATTCACATTGGAATGTATGATGCATACAAACTGATAATAAAGCTCATTTCAAGTATGCACATTCTAGGCTACAGTATTTTTCATTGCGTTGACTACTTTTACCAACTTACTATATAGTATTCTATTGGAAAATCGTAATTATGTAAATTTTGGCCGCTTGAAGGTAATCCAGAGATGGAGAGAAGAAAGTAAACGAAATATGAGTGCCGGAAGTAATAAAAAAACATCCTTGGGTATGTAGCTAAAATGTTTTGCTAAATGCCATTCGTCATATCAAGATCCATCACATGACATTTTTTTTAAACATTGCTCTTACTGTAGGATAACATTATCATGCGCGATTATATTCTCACTAGTAAAGCAAACTAAAATTAGTCCCGTGGATGTGTTTAAAAATACTGTAACTTCTGTGATCAAAATCAATGATGAGAAGTTACATCATTTGAATTTGTATGAAGAATGAAGTTTTGCGGGTAAAAATCCAGAAAGCAACAGAATCAGAAAAGGAGAGGTCCAGAATGAAAAGAGACACGTGTTTTAAAAATATTCGTAGATGCCCTTTCCAGGCACTGCAAATCTAATGGATCACTGCCCACTTAAATATTAATTAAGTTAAACGAATCAACACAAATTAATAACATATAAACATTTTATAAGGGGTAATATAGGGTATGTATATACTTTTTGTCCTCATTGCGGTAAATATTCTTTTACTGAATAAAATTAAAAAAGAATAGTTAATAATAATTAATAAATAGTTCATTATTACACAAAATAAATTTACACTACATAAACCGTCAGGCAGAAAATGCAAGCCATTCTTGGAACAGCTGTTGGAACTGTCTGAAGAGCACGGTATGTTCACTGAGGAGGAAATGAGGGAGCACGTAGACACTATTATCGTGAGCGGATACGAAACGATCGCCTCAGCGCTGTTTTTCACCATAATTCTCATCGGTTCATATCCTCGCGTTCAGGAGTGTCTTCTGAAAGAGTAAGAGGACAACTTTCAATATCAAAGAACAAATTAACTTCCTCAGTGTTAAAACAAATAAGTTTTTAATAAACAAAACGTTTATTGGCTACAGATTAAACAGTGTATTAGGCGACAATGAAAGAGACGTAGCGAGTCAAGACCTGCCACGGCTGGTGTATTTAGAAGCAGTAATAAAAGAATCCATGAGAGTATACACAGTGGTTCCAATCGTGGCGAGGTATATCGACAGAGATGTGAAATTAAGTGAGTTTATTATTAATATCGAGTATTGTCCTTTTACAGTAGCAATCTAGAACATATAACATGTTCTCAATCATTGAAAGCAAAGAAAATCTGTTACTACAAAGAAGTTTCCCAAAAAGTTCTGAAGGAAACTTCTTATTAATAACATTACTATTAACCTGACCTGATGCACTGGTTAAATTGGTCTTCTTGCCAATTGAATTTTTGGGCCGTGCTCTTGGTTCAGTCCCCACACAACAAAAAAAAATTAATCCATAAGGATTCACGTTCCATCGACACGGAATCTTTTTCCTCGTGAAAAAACATAAATTTTAGTTTTCAATTTGTATACCATTGCCGTTAACACCGAATAAATGGTAAATGATTCAATCAATAATCCTGTTCTGTCCACAACATATAAGTATCTGTTTTATTGATCTAATATAATAATTAACTTTGACTCTCGGGGACTGCCGCGGTAAAGCTATTGCATAGCATTTTTTATCATCTTATGCAATTATAATTATTTATTTATTTTTTATTTATGCAGTATTTTTTTCTTTGATATTAATTCAAGTATACTAAGATATTAATAAAATTCAAAACAAGATATTAATTCAATTATAATATCCAGAGTAGGGTGTGTTAGGTTTTATTTTCGCTACGGAATTTCTTGATTCGGTCGCCGCGCTCAAAGCCCGCAATAAAAGCTATGCAATAACTTAAAAATAGAATTATAATGAAGCCATAATTCATATACAGTGCAGTGGTACAGACTTTTTGGTTAAAAAATAAGAGGATACCTATGGAGTTTTTTTCCGCCTGTATTATCTTATTCGTTATAGGAACCTCATTACGAAACAATGGTAGATTTAAAAAAAATGACAATCGATACATGAAATGTATGTTTCCTAAGTCTATTAAATAAATGATTTTGATTTTTTTGAATTTGAATTTATCTAAAATATTGACTAGTTACTACTAATAGTGACTTTGTGAATTAGATTTTTACTCCCAGTTTTCGTCACAGTTTTGATATACCATAATTAAAATAAGGATGTTTCAGAAAAGTGCACTCTATTGGCGGGAAATACTTGTTATCTGTCACTTTACGGAATCCATCGCCACTCGATGTGGGGCGTTGAAGCGGAGGAGTTCAGACCGGAGAGATGGCTGAACACCGCTACATTGCCTGACAACGCTAACGCCTTTCTCGCATTCAGTTTAGGAAAGCGAAATTGTATAGGTAAAAAGAGACTTTGGATTCGACAACTAATTATTAAAGATAAAAAGAATTAATGAATTTACTAGTTTTTTTTTTCTATTTGTCTAAATTGGTTATACAGTTTATAATAACTTACACATTTACTACTAGAGACTTGAGTTAAGCTTTCAAATACATTACAGCTCACAGTTATTGTCACGTAAGATATCGGTTTCGGTAAAGTCTCTACTTTAGCGATATCTGATATATCCGTAAGGCTATCCTCACGATGGGAATTTTAAAAACAGCTATTATTTGGTGGTATTACAGTTATTAATTTGGTTTGGGTTCTAAGCCTGTTTTTTTTTATTTCTCAATACTCCCATCTTATATTTCGTTCATCATCATCATCATCATTTCAGCCTGTTTGAGTCCACTGCTGAACATAGGCCTCCCCCATAGACTGCCACGAAGTACGATCCTGAGCCACCTGCATCCATCGACTTCCCGCACATTTGCACAGGTCGTCACTCCATCTAGTGGGGGGTCGTCCCACACTATATATATATATATATATATATATATATATATATATATATTTCGTTACTTTCTATTATTGATACGTTAAAATAAACCAATATCTTTGTCTATGTCTATGGTTCTCTTATTACTTTTACAGGTAAAACGTACGCGATGATGTCTTTAAAGACGACACTGGCTCATTTCCTTCAACGCTACAAAGTGACAGCCGATCACACTAAAATGGCGCTGAAGATGGACATTTTGTTGAAGTCTGTAACGGGGCATGAAATCTACATAGAGAAACGCTCACGTTAGTTTGTCACTGTCTATAGTCTTTCTTTCCTCCGTTTTATCTTCCCTCGGGTGTAGCACATGTCCATGGGCGGCGGTATTCACTTAACATCAGGTGAACCGTCTGCTCGCTTGGCAACTTGTCACATAAAGAAAAAAAAGAATCTTTCTTGACATATTTCGTGCCAATTTATTTATATAACTCGTTCTTGGATTTTAGTCCACTGACCTGCAAGCATAAATTCTAGATAGATATCGGGCCTCGTACTTATATTAGCCACCTCGAAATCGCGATCTCAATCCTTTAGAGTATGTCTACGACGTTTTGAAGCTACAAGTGAAATCGGGATCAATCGTAATCAGGAAAGGTTAAAGGAATTAAACGAATGTCAACGATATTTAGTTGCGGTCATTTATTGATAATCGACTAATGGTCAAAAAGAACCAATAAAGCAAGTAGGTAGAGTATGCATTAATAACATGACATTCTCATACGAGTAGTAAAAGTGTTAGCAAAAGGTGGTTTAATCATTTCTATTAACATTTAATAACAACAATATTTCAATATCTTCCTTAATCATCTATACGCAATAAACTTTAAACAAATGTTATTTGTGTTATTTTCTACTCTTATTTTTAAAAAGCAACGCTCCTTTCAGGGTCCTCTTCGTGAATAACTTGCACAGGAGTATAATAGTAAGGGTATAATCCCGCATTATACACTATACCATGCTTTCCATTGTGTTACACAGAGTGGTGCTGCGATGGTGTTTGTGAAAATTTTTGATTCATCGATAAATTCTTGTGGAATATCGTCTTCGTAATTAACAACATGGATTACGGCTCTTCCGGCATTAATTTGTCGTCTCTGAACACTACCAGTTTCTCGGATTTGCCCACACTCTCCATTAAAAACGAATTATTCAATCAGCGATTTTAAATTTATTTCGAATACGAAATTCCTTATGCTTCCTTTGTGATAATTTTTTGTCAGTTTCTTTGAAAAAGTTCCCAGTTGTCATGCGTAAGTTTTAAATTAATCTGCAAGCCAAGTTTCACAGCGTTATTTTTCTTTCGTTTTATGGCTCAAAAATGTATTCAAATAATAACATTTCTTGTCTCGATTTTTTAAATTTGGAACGATAATTGTTGTTTTAATATGTTTAATTTTTTCCTTTTTTATAATTTTTGATGTTGCATTTTTTATTTATTTTAAATTTAGCTAATGCAAAACTAAAAGAAAAGTTGAGAAAAAAAAATTGTCGCAAACTACCTATCAGCTCCTAGCAAGAATTGCCAATTATTCTGTATGATATAATCATTGCCGTCCCTAGTCTTGAGGTTTTCTTTTAATGCCCTCTAGTCGACTTTTGCATTTTGCTTAAATTGTGCTTTGTCATATTTCATAATTGTATTTTTTCACATCAACATTTACTTATTTAAAATAAATCAAGGGATATGATAACTACAACAGTTATCACACCCCTGCTTCTTTAACAATGGGAAAGTTTCTACTGCTACGTAATTAAAATGAACTTTTGTGTTAATCTCAATTAGTAACACAATAATAAAATCAATTTAAAATCTATGGACGTATAATAACGTAATACATAATTGAAGAAAAAATAAACGCAGTAAAGTCGTACCTTTATTGAAATCCGGTAGTACTTCAGACCCACTAACTTTAAAGCTATTTCTATACTACCAACACTTACTAAAACTTCTTCTTGATCAGTTGTTACATTTTAATTTAAACAAATTATTACACCAAACAGTTTTGTTTTACAGTGGACCGTTCTACAATCGCTTATGGTGTAAACCTGATCAAAAATATATTTGAGGCTTGGGAGAGTTCACAGGATATCTTTTATGGAATCTGCAAGGTTTTCGGTTGCGTGAATCATGAAACAATTATCTGGCATATATTAACTCCATTATGGCATAAGAAGTACCGTGCTTAAACTCATTACCTCATATTTATGTAATCAAATTCAAAACAGTTTAATTAATGGTACCTACGACTCAAAGTCAATGGTTATAATTCAGCAGGGCTCGATTGTTGGCCCATTTCTGTTCTCATTAACATTAATGATTTCACTTATTTAGTAGGGTATATATTATGATATATGTTGTTTAGTATAGTGGTCGTCTGTCGGTAATCCTTCATTAATTTTTAAACTCGATCGACATCTTGTTATACACTTGACCAATTAATAATGCTGTTAGAAATAGTTCATTGTTTTAATGTTAACAATTTACTTTTAAATAGCAATAAAACTAAATATATAATACAACCAACGTTCGACACTATAAATGGGGAGGAGTAGGCCTTGCGTTGTGGATACGCCTGTTTCTCTTGGAATAACTCTTAAAAGTTTCAATGGACCTCATATATCCAAACTTGCTAGTAGACTAGTACTGAAGCATAATAGGCTTATCTTATTATCCTTATAGCATATTATGCTATAAGGATAATAAGATGTCCGACATATGTAAAACACCTTGAATTTATTCACTGTTTATTTTATTTATTTATTTTTATTTTAAGGCTTCATGCACATAACTCTGTACATAGGCGGACTTAATGCTGACAGCATTTTCTACCAGTCAACCTTAGGGTGGTACCGAGATTTTGAGGTAGGTGCACAAACATTTAAAATATAAATATTATACTAATTACACATAAATATATACATAATACAATACAATTAAATAAAAGTTTACATATATATAAATACTGTACTATAAATATATACATATACATAAATATATACACAAATACGTAGTCATGAAACTGCTGGCAGCTTTCCCAAAATAAACTTCCGTGCCATTCTCTTAAACGCAAGGCGATTCTTAGCCATTCTGATTTTGGGAGGAAGCTCATTCCAAAGAAAGATAGATTGAACAAAGAAAGAGGAATGGATAAAGTCAGACTGATGAGGAGGACCGAACAGAAGGCGATTATGTTTAGAGCGAAGATTTTTGATGTTGACTGAACTAAGGTATTGGAAGTGGGGAGCTAAATAAGAAGAAGTAAATGGGGAATCAAGGTAAGAAAAAAGTGTGGTCAAGGCTCTTAAAGAGCGTCGTTGTCGTATGGTTAACCAGTTTAGCTGTGAACGATAAGACGATACATGGTCATATTTGCGGAGATTGAAAACGAATCGAATGCAGTTATTCAGAAGTCGAGTTTATTGAGATGTTTAGTTATTTTCATAGCATATTATTTTCATAACAGAAGAAGAGTTTATTGAGATGTTTAGTTATTTTAATAGCCATTATGTCGTATTGTATTTTGCTATTATGCAAAAAAAGGCCCAAAGAGCAAAAAAGGGCTAAAAAGAGAACATCTCTAAGAGAGAAATTAAAATAAGTAAATATTTTAACTTTGGCCTCTCAATATATATGTGAAAATGTAATGTAACCTAGAAAAATAAATATTTTTTAGTAAGAATACATAATGCAAATACTATGAACAAACACAACCTTGTAACGCCAGCTACTAGACTCCATAGAGTAACTCGTTCATAGAAAACTTTATAAAAAGATTATTATAACATAAATGATACATTTATAATAATAACCCATGGGAATGAGTTGATCGCTCCCAAGCTATTTCTAAAAAAATGTATGTTAAGGGAAAAAGAAACAAAAAAGAGAATACCTATAGTTTCTTCTTTGTTATAAAAACCTCATTATGTATAGGTAGATTTAAAAAATGACTATCGATAGATGAAATATAAATGTTTCTTAATTCAGGAACTAAATGATTTGATTTGAATTTCACATTTCTTTCATTGATGTAAATTCTTGTAAATCAGTGTAACTCTAAAATCAGTGACTAAATAAAATAATAGAATCTGTTTCCTAGTAAACTTAAACTGCCACAAAAATTCATTGTATGTGATTTTTTTTGTATTTGATATATAGCGTTCCTTGCTAAGTGGTGCCTACAGCATCCGCTCCAGCCGCTGCACTTACTCAACCCTTGGGCGAGTACTGAATATAATATTTAGGCGTTGTCTAACCAAAAGAATTTCACTAGATGTGTGGGTTGCTGGCTGGGGACCCACTATCTCGAGATTCGTGAGTAGTAACACTCGAAAATAATTAATTAAAGAAGATAAAACCATTTTAATACTATAAATAAAATTAATTATTAATAGTTTTAAAATTATTTAAATAAATTATTACGTTCCGTTATTGAGTATGATGTTAGTTTAGTTTGGCATTTTATTTATGTCATATTCCTAACAACGCTTGTCATTCAATAATCAATACAGTATTGTCAAATAAAAAAAACATCGCGTCGAGCGCCGAATTATATCTTAGAGTTTGTGTTCAGTCAAATTTTTAAAAGGATTCGAGTACTCTATGATAATTCAGAGATATTTACAAAATGAGTGGTCCTAACGGCATGCTGTACGGTGGTGATGAAATAGGTGCATTAGTGTTTGATCCCGGGCATCATTCTTTGCGCGTTGGTTATGCTCAAGAAGACACTCCAAAAGCAGATATCCCTGCTGTAATCGGCGTTGGTCCCTCAACTCACATTCCAGATGCCGAAGAAAAGGTTCCGGATGGAAATATCACTCAAAGTGGTTTGTTAATTTAAGGATACGAATATTTTAAAATGTTTGGCCGTTTTCATCGATTTTCCCTTATTAATTATTTCAATAATTATCTTTATAGAATACAATCAATATTGGTTATATTAGTAAGTGAATATTGTACGAGAGAGCCAGCTAAATATTTATTAACAGTGCTACATGAATTTTATTCTAATTAAATACCTACAAATAGTGTTTGAACCCACAATAAATCCTTACTAATATTATAAAGGCGAAAGTTTGTATGTATGGATGGATGTTTGTTACTCTTTCACGCAAATACTACTGAATGGATTTTAATGAAACTTTACAACAATATAGCTTATACATCAGAATAAGACATGGGCAATAATTTATATACATATTTTATATATCTGTCTTACTGTCTTGATGTTACGCCTTCAGCTTATTCTACGCAGACATAGACGCGGGCAGCAGCTAGTTTAACATAAATTGTCATGATCATATTGGAGGTATATCCATTATTTAACTTTTTGGTTTATTCAAGTTTCTGTTATTTTTTTACTATAGTTTGTGACGTTACTCAGTAATGCTTGCTAACATAACATATTATACTACAGTAGAACCCGTTTAATATGATCATGCTTAATACGATTTCTTGCATATGCCATTTTACTCCAGTCCCTGCAACTTGAGACATGTTTTCATATATTTCTTAACGTGTAATATGTGTCGTCCTGTTTAATACGCCAACACGGCCCAGGTAGAGGTCAACTGACTGAAGAAATTAAAGAAAATATAGAATGGGAGGTGTGCATGTAAAGAAGCAAGGAAGGAAAGTTTGAAAAATTATAAAAAAGATAGTGGAACGGCATCACTAAGCGCAAGCTTGAAAACAGCTCATAACTGGCATCATAATATTTGAGAAAGTTCATGAAATTGATAAAAGCTTACAGATCACTGATTTTAATGCCTCAGATGGCTGGATGGATTGTTATAAAAATCGCCACAGAATTGTGTATTGTCAATTCCATGGGGAATTGGAGACACTGTCTGGTTTAATCCCACTACAAGTGTCCATCACAACTTATTGGGAAAACTCGGCAAGAAATTGTAGCATAGATTATGATTAAGAATAAATGATTATTTTTTATCTTGTAATTGCTAAAGCATCAAAGTCTGTCAAACCATAATAAGTGATTACCTACTTTAAATAACTTAATTATCACACAATGTATTTAATGTAATTTATGAATATGTTGTTAAATATCTACATAAAGAATTTGGAGCATAATATTTAATAGTACAGTTTATTTTCACTATCCTGCATAATACACTACCTCGCTTAAGGCGCGCTTTTAGTTAGGTCCCTGTGAACTTAATTAATAAACTTGTTACTCTGATACAATGGTTATTGATGATACAATGGTATTGTGTGAAACCTTTCCAACAAGTTTTCAACTAATTGCGGTCCATAAATACTTTTATCATCTTACAAGTATAATTTTAATTCTACCAGGTGCCAAAACAGGTAATGAACTCCGCCATTACATAGATGTCACAGAAATCCATGTTCCAAGACCAGGGATGGAGATACAGACATATATGAAGGATGGACAAGTTGACAATTGGGATTTGTTTGAGAAAATGTTGGACTATTGTTATGCTAAGGTATGCTATGAAAATAATTTGTAAATATAAAAACATGTTTAACAATATCGCACAGTAATTAAATAACATAATACCAATTAAAGGATTTGTATTATATCTATAGTTAATAACTTTCTTGCAAACTTGCAATCAATACTAGAACTGAAGTACACAACCAAAGCCAGAAAGATAATCACAATGTGCAAAAATTGTTAAACTTATGTATGGTGTAAAGCCTACCATCTTATAATATTTAAGACTACAGGCAGTCCTCATAATTAAAAAATATGCAAATGGATAAGATGAATACAAGAATGATGAATACAAGTGTGACCGAGAGAACCTTGTTCCATGGGTTCTCTCGGTCACACCTTTAATTAGAATGCTTTCTGAAACTTTTTAAATATTTCACTAATCTTGCCTTCTCTTAATAAAAGTTTATCAGATTCCTTACTTGCACAAGTTACTCTCGGCTTTCTGGTGGGTAGACAGGATAACTATTGCATTATTTTGACAGATTCCTTTTGAATTAACCCTCTGTGACCGTCCTCAGTGTATATAGATAGGCTCCAATGTATTTTGTATTCAAGAATGAGCTCTAGCTGTTGACCTTTTTACGGTTAAATTTGTGAGTGTTTCTGTGTAAAGCATTATACTGTATGCTTTTATTTATAGGTCATTCGCTCTCCGTCTGAACATCACCCAGCTCTGTTTACGGAAGCCGTGTGGACTTCTAGACCAGCGAGAGAGAAGCTGGCAGAATTGCTTTTCGAGAAGTACCAGGCTCCAGCATTTTTCCTTGTGAAGAATGCAGTACTTGCTGCATTTGCAAACGGGAAATCCACAGCTTTAGTACTGGATGCAGGAGCTAGCCAAACATCTGCTGTTCCTGTTATTGATGGGTGAGAAGAGATCCTGTTATTGATTGTTTTTAACTGCACACAGTTTTCGCCATTCGAGAAGTTCGACTTCCGCAGAATCTATATATTAATATGTGTATCAAAATCTTTGTACCCCTTTTTAAAAAAATTGCCCAGACGCAAGAGTATGAAATTTCCCATACCTATAGTTTACATAGAGAAGGAATGCAAAATACTAATATTTTGTTAATCACAATTTTTTTAAATACATAAATCAATAAAAAGACATTACACACACTTTGTATTTGACACATACATGCATATATACTCTTTTGTTTATTGTTAAAATCTGTGGTCAAATTAAGAATACATTAATATTGTTTAAAATTATATTTTAAATTCATTAATTATGGTTTGAATGTCTACCACTGGGTGACAACTAGTTTTAATAGTTACATTTAACAAATACATGAAACAAATAAATCTGATTTAATCTTTACCATATAATATAAGTATATCAATTTATTATATTACATTAATTAGCAAAGGCAACATCTGTCAAGTTATCAAACATTCATTGTAAAAATGTTATTTGACCGAATCGACATTTGACCGATTTGTTCGAATCCTGACAGTGGCGGACAAACTTTTCGAAAATTTAACTATACATTAAGTTTAATCTTAAGTACAGATAGCACTAAAAGTAAAAGTTAAATTTGCAAACAATTATATTAATTTATTTATAGTTATGCAATTGTGAGTGCAGCGGTGCGTTCACCCCTCGGCGGTGACCACCTTGTAGCCCAAGCCAAGAATATGCTCAACAATCTGCACATACAAATGCTGCCTATATACAGTATACAGGTAAGCGAAGCGCTAAAATTTTAAATGCTTGTATGTGGCCTTGTGTTACCTACATGCCACAACGGCTGAAGCCATCTCTAACTCTACGGGTGATGCAAATGTCCACGGGCGGCGGTCATCATTTACCCTCGGGTGAACCGCCCCTTCCCCCCCCCCCCTAGCCACCTCCTCAAAAAAATTTAATAATGTCATCCATAAATCCATAATAGGGTTTAAAAAAAATAATGATAATAACTTGCTTCGAACTAATAGGCCAACATTCTCTTTCCAGAGCAAAGAAGTTATCAGGGAACGTGAAAGGGCCAAGTACACCCTCAAAAACCTCCCTGCTGGTCTCACGCAGTCCTGGCAACAGTATATGCTGAAGAAGCAGTACGAAGACTTCTGTCATTGTGTCGCTCAAGTATGTCAAAATCTAATAATTTATTTATGTAAAAAAATGATAAATATTTAAAATCACTAGTAAGTAATTAAGTACATTCATTTGAACTTATCTCAAAAAGTGCCCGATTTATACGCCACTCATTTATTTTACGCGCATCATTCATAACTAATTTCGGTATTGATGAATGACTACCGTATTGTCAACACGTTCTGTTTTTTAGGGAATAGAATGGCATTATTTTTTTTTTGAAAAAAAAACTTTTTTTTATTTCAATATCCGATTATACTACCGAGTCTGAACCTCCTGTGTTAATTTGGGCACTTCTCAAAAAATCTCCCTGTATAAGTAAAATAATAGTTATACATAATAACAAAGTCTATATAGTTATACATACACAGAAAAATAAACTACATAAATATAATGTCACAAACGTTATACCAATGATATTAGAAGTAAAAACCAAATGTACGTACTAAATCATGCTATTGTTAATATCTATCAATGCTCGGTGTCAATGTCCTTGGATTTGAAAACTTTAAATTTTAACCTTATTTCATTGACAAACATTTTTTTTAACACATTGGCCATCTCATTGTTACGAATTCTAATATCAAATCAGCTGTCGGTCATGGGACTAACCCGAATCATACTACTCCCCACTACTGGAAAAATATTGTGTGATGAACAGTGTTTTTCCAGTGTCTGGGTGTTTATATATGTATAATATGTACTTACAAAAGAAAACTATGTTTAAGGGTATCAGTTATCTAGTAACCATAGTGCAAGCGCTGCTTAGTTTGGGACTAGAGAGCGTGGTGTAAAAATGTGTCGTAAAAAATGAAAAAACTTGGTATGTGACTCGCACTTCGATGATTCCGTGGCACTGTTGCCAAAGTGACTTCGGCGTCGGGGGTCGTGTTGTTGTTTCGCATCTGGGTGTTTGTCCGTGTGAAGGTCATGTTTGTAAAACGTCCTTACAACACGGGACAATGTTATCCTAAAGTGAGGGCAATGTTTTAAAAAAAAAATTTGCCTGGTCTCCCGCTAACCGAGCCGCTGCCGCCCCCAGGTGTCGGAGAGTCCGTACGACGAGCGCACCGTCGCCTCGGTGCCGGGCGTGCACTACGAGTTCCCGGGCGGCTATCACCAGGACTTCGGCCCGGAGCGGTTCAAGCTGACAGAGTGCCTCTTCGAGCAGAACCTCGGCGCGCCGCACCTGGGTGGGTGGAATTTCGGGGCTACCAAAAAAAAACACGCTTTTTTTTTTATGAAACAAGAGGGGCAAACGGTCAGGCGGCTCGCTGACGGAAAGTGATCACTGCCGCCCATGAACACGGAGCATGACATTTGACACATTGACATGACGGGGTTATGTGGGTTTCTTGCCCACTAAAATCCCCTCGGTGAACACCTTCTGTACGTTTAGAGGGACTCCGGGGAAGGATAAACCTTCCCCGATTCCCTCGTCGTCTCGCGTACAACCCATTGTCGCACCACCGCACCGTCCAATCGCCTTTACTGCTCCGTACTCTCCAAGAGGTCATTGCCCCTCGCCGCCCCCCAACCCACTGCGCAGTGTACTACACCACCATCCCCCCGCCGTGCACCGTCCCGCTGACCGCGTACACCCAATGCGCAGTGTGCTAAAACCACCCTTCAAGGGGTCATTGCCGCTCGCTGACCGCGTACACCCGGCGCACAGTGTACTAACACTATCCCCCCAAGGGGTCATTGCCCCGCGCCGTCCTTTCCACAAACCGCGTACACCTAGCGCGCAGCGTGCTAACACCGCCCCCCAAGGGGTCACTGCCCCGTGCCGTGTCACGTACACCTAGAGCGCAGCATGCTAACACTACCCTCCAAAGGGGTCATTGCCCCGCGCCGCTCGCCAACCCGCTGACCGCGTCCACCCTGCGCGCAGTGTGTTAAAACTAGCCTCGAAGGGGTCATTGCCCCTCGCTGACCGCGTACACCCCGGCGCGCAGTGTGCTCCGCGGCGGCGGCGTGCGACGCGGACGCGCGGCCCGCGCTGTGGGGCGCGGTGGTCGCGTGCGGCGGCGTGGCCAACCTGGGCGGCTGGCTGGAGCGCGTCGGCCGCGAGCTCGCGTCGCGCGCGCCCTCCTCGCACCGGCTCAAGACGCACGCGGCGCCCTCGCCGCCGGAGAGGCGCTTCGCCGCCTGGCTCGGTACGTGGCGACGCAGATGTGAAAAGTTCACGAGCGAGCAGGCGGTTCACCTGCTGTTAAGTGAATACCGCCACCCATGGACATCTGCTACACCCGAAGGTTACAGACGGCGTTGATAACCTCTTGTAAATTGGGCTCCGGCTACCTCACTCACCAGTCATACTTCCACTTTACGCCGGTCTTCTGTGAGGCCGTGGTACTTACCCGGACGGACCTGCCCATTCGTACAACAGCCGGGGCTGCTGCGTGACCCTACCACGGTTAGGTTATATAAGTCATATAAGAAGTCGAAAATACATCGATATTTTTGATTTTGTATATCGATATATTTAGATCGAAAACCGTATCAAAAATAATATTTTTTTTTAATTTCGAATCCCACTAAGAGTCCGTAGGTGTCAAATATTTAATTCTGGACATACCTTTTTGCTACACTAACTGAACTGGCTATCCAAGTTAGCCGCCTAGTTGGGTACGGCACAACACTAGTATTGCACACAAACTGAGCTACGTTCAAGTCATCTATGTGCGACAGGTGTTACAATATTTGATTATTGAACTAACTGTTCAAGTTATTTAAGGGTGACAACTGTTACAGCTCTCAAACTAAACATGTATTCATATCATTTTTATTTATTTTGTCCCTCATAGCTGGAGATTACAACCACTTATTAAAAGTCTCATTTGGTATGATCACAAAGTGTTATTTGGAAACAGATTCTACAATAAAAGAACTTATAGATTGCCACAAAGCTCTCTTAAATTGTTGAAATTGTTTAGGCTTATCTCATGTGTGGCTAAGTGTCACAGGCCCCAAATGGTAATTGAGCTGTTCACAAGCTATTGAAAGTTTGTATATTCAATTTAGGCATTTTCTAAGCCTATGATGAATGAAATTTACTTTTCCAGGGAAAAAACTGGCAAGAAAATGTGTTATCGTGTGCATATAAATGTCAGGTTTTTAAACAGGACTAGAAAACAATATTAGCTTATAATTCAACAGTAGCCAGAGGAATTGAACATTAAGTCACCTTGTAATGGGTAATTAAAAAAAATTAAGGTCTAGTTTGTTTAATACAGGGAGGCTTTTCTAAGTGTATCCATTTTATTTTATTAAATTCTTGACATAAATGATGTTATATAAAAATGATAAATATTTAAAATCACTCGTAATTGATTAAATACATTTATTTGAAGTTATCTCAAAAAGTGCGTGATTTATGGGCAACTCATTTATTTTACGCGCTATCATTCGTAACTAACACGCACACAAGGTCGTTTCAAAAGTATACGAACGCATTTATGAATTAGTCATTCAATCCACATTGTCAACAACTTTAGGGAATGGAATGGCAATTTTTTTGAAAAAAAATTGTTTTTATTTCAATAAACGTTTATACTACCAAGTCTGAACCTCCTGTGTGAATTTGGGCACCTTTAGAAAACCCACCCTGTACATTGTTCTAAATCTTTTCACTTGCTGGTAACAATAAACTTGTATATAATCTACTTTAGATATGGTTGACCCATTTACACACATTTTAAAAAATTACTAAATAAAAATATATGGTAATAAGTTATTGGTTTATATCAAACAAAACGCATGGAGGAAAGGTCAATCTCATTTATACTGACAAGTACTAATTCACTTTTATGTTCTAATCAATGATTTTTTGCAGGTGGTTCAATCCTGGCTTCGATAGGTTCGTTCCAGCAGATGTGGATATCATCCCAGGAGTATGACGAGGGAGGCAAGGGTCAACTGGAGAGGAAGTGTCCATAATAAATGAAGACAAACAGGCCAAGCCTTCGCAGACAAACAGGCCAAATGACATTCTTATTTCCATGTGATGAAGTGTTTTAATGATAGACATTTCAGTATGCTGAAAATAGTGATAATTTAAAATGATTTTTTTTCTATAGCTAACCATGTTTGTGTGATAATTTTTAAAAAGAAGATTAAACATTAATACACAGATATAATTTCTGTCCAATATTTCTGAAGGATTAATTTCTTTAGGATGTGCAACCATAAATTTGTATTACATAAAATTGATTGTACTTTTTATGGATATTTTGTACCCATATTAACCTTAAGAGCACATGTTACTAATTGAAAATTGGTGTTATTGAAACTGTTTATTTTTCCTGTGCATCGTGTGGTTGCAGTCAGATTTAAGGGATACTATTTCTTACAATGAGATTTAAATAAATGAAAGATGGAGATTATCCAGTGTCCTGTATAATATTGAAATAGAAAAATATATCAATAAAACTTGCTCACACAATATCTTAAGGTCAAAAGTTTCTTTTGAAGCAGCAGAGATAAATGTGATTGTCTATTTGATATGAAAATATTTTTATGGACTGACATAAATAATATACAAATTAATAAACCTTTTCATTTCAATCCATATTAAAAATTTACTTTTTACATTGTTTCAGATTTGAGTTTATTATTTAAAAAACATGGAAATCACAGACATGTATTATGAACAATAATTGTACTTAACAATTTTCTGATCCGTCTGCCTGTTTCCTGTGATGATTTTCACAGATATTTGTTCATGATTATGTAAGTTATATTATATAACTCAAAGCAAATCTACGGAAATTCGAAAAACCATGTAAGTTATCAGTAACTTTGGCAAAAGATTTTTTATTGATTCTTATTTAACACATTTGAATTGTTTAACTGTGACACACTGGAATAAATTCTTTCTACTCCATACTTCATAACTCACTGTGAGACTACATAAACTTGTAGAACAGTAGAATCAAAATCCTATATCAACATCTCTCTAAAGATTTTATTATATACTAAAGATTATTTAAAGAAACAATAAGTACTTATTCTTATTTAGTACACAACAACTCATTCTGCATCACTTTCTGACTGGGCTTACAACACTGCAACACTGCATTTTAATAAATAACCGATAGATAGTCACTTTCACTGGCTCAACCTCAACATGTTGTGGCATCGTGTTCATCCTCAATGTGCTTCTTGAAGTCTATCCGAGAGCTGGATTCGAACCCGCACGCGCCGCACACAAGGACATCTGCTGCCTCCACCTCAGCCGAGTCCAAATACACTTTGTCTGTGAAACAATTAATGATGATTTCTTCAATTGATACCATGTTATATAATTTCCTAAGATTTTAGGAAAAATATTGATTTACTAATTACTATTAGTTATTTGTGGGATTATTACTGGAGGTAAGCTGTATTAGTGTTTAAAACCTAAAACTCATTTTTCTAAAATCAACAAAACCTCATTTTTCTAAAAGCAAACAGCAATAAGTTTTTGAGTTATATACATAATGTTCTATACAATATCACCCTGTCTCACATTTTCTTAAGATGTATGTTGGCTATGCTTCGCCATTTAAACTAAACTACCATTTTTTAACTAGTATATTTAAGCTGTGTTCCAGTATGGATAAAAATAAGAATTATTTCTTATTTAAATTAGGAAATAGTCTTTGTCACTCACTTGATTCCTGGGATTCCTTCACATGTTTTTCTTGAACATGCCTCATTAACTGAAAAAAAAACCTACAGTGAAAAAGTGTGAAGCATCTCATAAATGTTTTGATTTATACTTATTAATATATTAGATAATCATTAAAAATCAATAACTGATTTTAGTTGAAAATCTTAATATCTTAAAAGCAAATACAGCAGCAATGATGGAAGAAGATTATATAACAGTTAAGAAAATAGCTAGATAAAATATCTAATTTTATCTGATTGGATCCGAGAACAACCAAACAACATAACATATAAAAGACATTTTAAAATAATGAAAATTTGCAAACCTTTTTACATACAAGTATTATATATATACATATATATATATACACACACGAGTGTAGCAGATTAGAGTAGACAAATTAAGTTCATTTAGTGATTGCAATATTTGGTACTAACTGCTGCCCGCGACAACGTCTGCGTAGAATAGGCTGAAGGTTCATTAAAATCTATTCAGTAGTTTTTGCGTGAAAGAGTAACAAACATCCATCCATACATACAAACTTTCACATTTATAATATTAGTAAGGATAGGATATCCATTAATGCCCATTTTCCATTATGGGGCATGTCCATAAAATTAATGACCACAATAATGCCATATATTGCACCACATTTAGCTAATATTTTTAACAACTGCATAGATTCTGGAATATTTCCAGATCTTATGAAATTTAGTAAGATAATCCCCGTCTTCAAAAGTGGGGATAAAAATGATCCAGGAAACTACAGACCTATCTCCATATTGCCATCTCTGAGTAAAATTTTTGAAAAACTAATTTTAAATCAGCACTTAGTACATTTTAATATGAACAAAATTTTTCACAATGAGCAATATGGATTCACTAAAGGCAGATCGACAACAGATGCGGGTATCGCACTTGTCAAACATATTTATAACGCCTGGGAAGAGTCGCAAGATGCAATAGGTGTTTTTTGCGACCTTTCAAAAGCTTTCGACTGCGTGGATCACAAAACCCTCCTTCTAAAGCTTGATTATTATGGCATTCGTGACATCGCCCTCAATCTCATTGCTTCTTACCTTAATAATAGAATTCAAAAAGTATCTATAAATGATGTAAATTCCGCAGGGTCCCCCATGAAAATGGGTGTCCCACAAGGATCGATCTTAGGCCCATTATTATTCTTAGTATATATAAATGATCTCCCCTTTTATGCCAGTGAGTTATGTGATGTTGTACTGTTTGCTGACGACACATCGCTTATTTTTAAGGTTGACCGAAATGTATCGAATTATGACGACGTGAATAGTGCACTTTCGCGTATCCTCCACTGGTTTACCATTAATAATATGGTGTTAAATGCTAAAAAAACTAAATGCCTTCTTTTTGCCCTTCCCAACGTAAGAAGGCAAAGTTTTAGCTTAAAATTGAATAGCGTAACCCTTAATCCTGTTGAGTCCGCTGTATTCTTGGGAATCACAGTAGATTCAAAGCTCCAATGGAGTCCCCATCTATCATCTCTTGCGAATAGGTTAAGCTCCGCTGTTTTTGCAATTAGGAAGGTTAGGCAGCTATCAGACATCGACACTGCCAGACTTGTTTACTACAGTTATTTTCACAGCATCTTGTCGTACGGCATTTTGTTGTGGGGTAGTGCATCTGATATAAATTCAATATTTATTATTCAAAAAAGAGCTGTCCGAGCAATTTATAACATCGGAGCCCGGAATACACTCAGAGATCTTTTTAAAGAGATTAATATACTCACTGTTGCGTCTCAATATATTTATTGTAATATTTTGTATGTTAAACAGAATATTAATAATTATCAAAAGAATAGTGACAGACATAAACTAAATACTAGAAATAAGGACAAACTAACTACGCCATTATTTCGCCTACAAAAAGTAAACAGATCGTTCATGGGGCAAAGTGTGCGCATGTATAATAAAATCCCACAGTCGATGTTAAGTCTGCCACTTGATGAATTTAAACGAAAAATTAAAAGTACACTTATGGCTAAAGCCTATTATACTATTGCCGAATATCTTGACGACGCCAATGTGTGGGGTTAATACTGTTGATACTCACGTAGGCTAAAACAAGACTATTGTACCTGTACTATTATATTGTAAACTGATTTTTTAAAAAAGAGCAACTGTTGAGTTTCTTGCCGGTTTCTTCTCAACAGAAACTGCTTTCCGAACCGGTGGTAACTTACGAACGTGTTAATTTCTTGTAAAATTTTGACGTTTCATAAGAACGCGCAAGCGTCTATGTGAATAAAGATATTTTATTATTATTATTTATAATTTCACCATTGTACCCTCAAACGCTCCCTTACTTATTTTCTCAGCAATATTCATTTTCGCCAAATTAGGGGTTTAAGAATAAAGTCTTAAGAATAAGGGCTCCGCTCACCTAAAGGTGAGCCTTAAGCGGTGGTGAAAACAAACCTAGCATGTAAATTTTTAGGGGGTCTCTACAAACCACGTGTCAATGGTGTAAACGGGCATATAACATGTAAAAACCATAAGTCATATGTAATAGTTTCAATACCTCCTACAATATTAGCATAGTCGCATAGAAGAGAATCTCACCTGTGAATGGGTGCAACCTCTGAACGGGCATCTGGCACACTGCAAGGTTATAGATGAGGACCTCCAGCCTCCACGGCTCTTGCTTCCACCACCTCCGCCGTGTTCTGCCGCCTGTTGGAAAAACATTATAATATATTAATGTATTTCTAGTACTCACATAATCTATCTGCCTACATCCAGGGGAATTCGGCTAAAGTGAGGAAGTCATTTCCGATACAAAAGCATATTTTGATGAATTCCTTAGAGTCGTATGTTTTTGTAGACTTACAGACGTGACAGAAACAATGGGAAAAGTGTAAAAACCTCAAAGGGGACTGCTTAGAAAAATAAAATGAATGTACTCAACTCATTGATCGACCCTCTATAAAAAAACTTAAATCTGTCTAAAAATTATCTTATTATCGTTTAGACTTATTTTTTTTACATTTTGAATACTGTGCAATAATCATGATGATGCAGATACGTCCTAAAATATAGAAAGAAAATTGTAGAACGCGTCACGTAGTGGCACATAAAGTTAAATGAAAGGTAAGAAAGATCTCTCTCTCTTTCTTTCTTATACTTCATTTATCATGTGACACTTCCATCAAGTTTACCTTACTTGAATCTTCATTTCTGCATACAATAGTAACTCCACATTTTTCAAAATGATTTTTCTTACACCATTAAAATCGCTAGAACAAAATTCTAAACAATAGCTATAAAGCATTAAGTCCAACGACGCCTAATTAATATAATATCCAATCGTATATGACATTGTAATAAATAGTGCATTCAAGGATTCACTCATGCATTTTTGCCTCTCCTTTAAATTTATGTTTTATCACATGATAAAAAAATATAATAATACATATTTTAGCAAACTAAGCAACACTTGTACTGTGGGTACTAGAGAACTGATAAACATACTTAAACATACTTTTCTTTTGTAAATATATACATATTATACATATATAAACACCTAGACACTAGAAAAACATGTGGTATTACTGTGGTAGGACCATGCAACAGTTTTCGCTGTTGCACGAATAGGCAGTTCCATCCAGGTTAGTACCACAACCTCACAGTAGACCGGCGTAAAGTAGAATTCTTACACCTCTGCGTTTCGTCTGGTGAGTGAGGTAGCCGGGGCCCACATTATTAAAAGGTGGCAACACATCTGCAACCGGTGTTGCAAATGTCCGTGGGCAGCGGTTATCACTTAACATCAGGTGAACCGCCAGCTCGTTTGCCACTTTTTCACATAAAAAAAATGTTCACCAAACATTATTTTGCCAGTAGTGGGGATCGAGCACACACCCTCGGGGCGCGAGAGACAGGTACACTACCCACTACGCCGTTCGGGTAGTCAGAATGATGCTACCTCTGTGGTGCCGATATGTGAGTTTTGGTCGGCGCGCCGTACCTTGTGGGCGGTGAGCTCTTTGATGGCGTTGCAACGGAAGCTGCACAGCTTGCACGAGTAGAGGAACAGCTTGAAGTGGGGCGAGGCGAGCATCTCTTGGGGCGGGGGCAGCTCGCCGCGGCGCCGCCTGCCCTTCCCCCGGCCGCTGCCCAGCCCCCCACCGCCCCCCACAGTCACGTTGCTAGAGGTCTCTGCAGTCGCAGCCTGCTGAACTCTGAAACGATGAGTGAAATTAGTAGAAGGAACGGACGAACTGGCGAATATCATACTGTTGGAAATATGCTGAGAAGTGGTGGGCGAGGACGGCCGAACTTGTTTTTTTTATGTGAGAAAGTGACAAACGTGCTGGCGGTTCACCTTATGTTAAGTGATAACCGCCTGCCCATGTACAGTTGCAACACCCGTAGGGTTGCAAATACGTTGCCACCTTCTGATAATGTGGACCCCGGCTACCTCACTCTCCAGACGAAACGCCGAACTGTTACACTTACTACGCCGGTCTTCTGTGAGGTTGTAGTACTTCCCCGGACAGACCTGCCCCATAATAAAATGTACATGTAGTAGATTTTATTCTTATTCTTACTTTACTTTTTGGAGAGCCTTCGCCTTCTCCAATATTTCAGCCGGCGACGGCGCTGGTTTCTGAAAATATGACCACAAAAAAAAATTATTAACCACAACTAACGATTTGAGTTCAATTTAAGTTCTAATTGAACAATATCAACTGAAAACCTTACTTCACCACTGAGCAAAATATCACTTTTTGGGGTTCCGTACCAAAAGGGTAAAACTGAACCCTATTACTAAGACTACTTTCACAGGCAGAACGCTGTCTGTTTGTCTGTCTGTCTGTCGGACTGTCGCCAAGCTGTATCTCATGAACCGTGATAGTTAGACAGTTTAAATTTTCACAGATATGTACTGCTTTTGCCACTATAACCACAAATACTAAAAACCAGAATAAAAAATATTTAAGTGGGACTTCCATAAGACAGGCATGATTTTTTTGCCGTTGTTATAGATAATGGTACGGAACCCTTCGTACGCGAGACCGAGTCGCACTTGACCGGTTTTTATATTTACATGTTTTACGATACTAATCGCAGAGATCTGAGACTGATAGATTATCAGCGGTTGTGCCAAATGAGTAACAATTTGGTGGACCTTATTCAAATATCTGAGAAGAAAACTAAAACCTACCCTAAATAAACTGGTCATAACAATAAGTGTAAGTGAAGAAATGGATTACCAGTGGCTGGGGCTTCTTCAAAGGTGCCTGTTGCAGAAACATTAATGGCACCTGAGTACCGTCCACCATTACATATGCCTCCTGAGCTTCTTGTTCTGCAAAGTAACCGATACATTGCCAAAAGCTGTGTGTTATGACTTAAGCCCGTTTTCCGAAACACTGATCATCCTAGAAGTCAACTAATCAGCTGTCAAATGGATTTTCAAATGTTATTTGAGTTGCCAAAAGGATAATTAAACTCTTTGAATTGATCAGAATGATCTTCTTAATGATCGGAATGGGTCAATTCAAAGAGTTTAAACAATTCTTTTGGCAACTCAAATACCATATGAAAAGCCATTTGACAGCTGATTGGTTGACTTCTACGGTGATCAGTGTTAAGGAAACCTGACGTTAGGTAGAGCCATGGAACGGAAAAGCTAATGGAACCCCCCCTCCCCCAAACCTTAGTCTCAGGTTAGGATACGGCATATGTGGATACATTTTAAAATTTAAAATTCCAATCAAAAGGTCACTCACCCTCACCATCCTCGGCGGATTGCAGTACGCAGGTGACTGTCGAGTCAGTATCATTGCCTTCCGAAGAGTCGGCATTGGTCACAAATTGGTAGGACTCCTGACCATCCTCGCATCTATGGATATTTTTTTTATAGACACACCAACAGTATACATATTTACAAAAGTTACAAAAAATTAAAAAAAAAAAAAAAAAACATTGGACCTAATATGTACACAGATGTGTACATATTAATATTAAAAAAATGAAATAAAAAGAATGGACTAACAATAAAAATGAAAGAATCAAAAATAGTTTTTAGCGTATTTAACACACCAGTGATTATTTTTCTTTTTGAAGTTACTTCTTTAGGAGCTTTATGAAAAAATTATGAGTGAAAATTTATGACGCGCGCTCATCACTGTAACACAAAAGCACACCTTACACGGCAGCACATTCTTAATCACATTCGCCCATTACAGTAAGGAACGAAAAGGAAGTCTTCCGCCGCTGTGGGAATCGAACACTCGTCTTCCAAACTCTGTGTTCTTTTTTTCAACAAACTTTAATGTTTCATAATAAACTTTAATGTTTCTTAATTGCAGAGATTAGTACTATAAAAAATGTCATATACAGCGTGTCGTTACCATCGCGACAATAAATGTAACGCTACTAGCCAATAATCATAAAAAAAATATTAACGTTAAACAAAATCCATAATTTAAAAAAAAAATTAAAATTTTATATGTGTGTATGATAAAATATTATATTAATTACCGAACTATTCTCAAGTTAAGTAGGTCCACCATCATGCCCTTTCCAGAATCCAAAACTTGCATATATTTCATATCACCATCGTCACTGTTCTCCGAGGCCTCCACTAATACATGTTCCCCCATATTCTCAAGCTAAAAAACATAGACGCAGAGCTGTATTGAAGTCGAAAGTCAAAGTCAACATTTCTTTATTCAATACATGCTTGTTTGAAGCTTATATTGAAAGTCAAAAAACTACCACTACACCACTAATACATTTTAAACTTGTTGTCTAATAGTTGTTTGTGGATGTCACTTATTTTATTACATAATTAATACATCTAAATGATCATCGAGAAAATATCAAGTAAGTACAGTAAATACCAAGCCTTAATCGTTTCATTAATCTTCATCAAGATAAATTAATTACAAGGAATGTTTTTAAGTCTCAACATCTTACATTGGCTTAAGTAAACACTCCACTAGTTTCTATTGTACAGGATTTTATGATATATGCTCTCCATATAGTTGTGCAAAGCATGGGTTTACTCTACTTAGTTACGGAAGGATAAAACTTTAAAATATATTTTCTAAAGTACTATACTACTTGTAAGATACTTTATGTATTTCAAAATGCTTAAAGCAATGGCTTCTTATGCAAAAATGAAGTATTGTAACAAACCTTGTTGCCTTTATCATATGAGGTCACTTCAACTATTTCCAACTGCCCTGAAAGTTTATCAACAATTTATTATGATTATAGTTAATCTTACTGTCAATATAATGAATTCAGTAACGGCCTAATAAAAGGGTTTATTTTTTGCAAACTTCCATTTCTAAAAGAAATTATCATCTAATCACTAATCTCTCTCAAGATTACAATGATATAACCTAGAGAGAGATGATATACAGAAAATGATTTAGATGATCACTATAAAACACAAATGCCCGGTTTCTGAAACACTGATCATTGTAGATGTTGAACATATATATAAATACATCAAAAACCAAGCTACGGGATTTTACACAAGCTTTAAGACACAAAAAAGCCTGTAATAGTATTATTTTGATGACAAGATGGCAAGTGAGTTAAGTGATAAGATAAAATAGACAGTTAATTGATAACCGCTGCCCATGGTCATTTAAGATACCACCATTAATCTTACTTAAAAAAATGGGTTCTATCTGACAAAAACAAAATTGATCTAATTTTCCAACCCTAACTTAATAATAATAAGTGTTTAATTTTATTTTCAAAAATGTAAAAATTGAATAAATATTATTATAAAAAATTGAATAAATATTTTTTTTTCCCTACTATGGCTCCACAGATACGTCAGTGATTTTGCCAACAACTTGGTACTTGGAGATCGATTAGGCTAAGGACATGACAATAATAACCTACTGTATTCAAACCACTTTCAGTTGCATACCTGTAAAGAGAGAAACAAAACACCTTATTAGTAATTAGTAATATGGTCATTAGTCATGGGACATCAGCCATACATAAATAAAGAGAAAGAAAAAGGAACAAAAAAAAAGGAACAGGAACAAAAAAAGGCGAAAAACAAAAATCTTATAAACCAGCTTAAAGCCGTATATTGTTCATTTCTATGAATCTAATTAGTTTTAATGAATGGGGCATAGACAAGAGTTAACAAACAACTAACATTCACAGGACGTACAATAGTGGGTGGGAGTAGATCATATAGAGGGACTGATAACATAGGACAACTAAAGAATAAATGATCAAGAGTACCCTCATCTAACCCGCATTCACACAAAGACGTATTTCGAATGTGCAGTTTAGCCAGAAACACCGGTGAACATACATGGCCTAGTCTGAGCCTGATGATAATATATGTAGTCTTTTTGTGATAGCATCTATATCTAAAGAACCAAGGTTTGGTAGGTATAAAAGGTTGAATTAGACTGTAATATTTACACCTTTCACGTCCAATCGCCTACATTTATTATACTTAGGGATTCCGAGCTGAATTGCTTCTTTGGCACAGCAATCTGCTTTTTCATTTCCAAGAATGCCGCAGTGACTTGGAATCCATGCTAAAACTACTTGTAGACCAGCACAGTAGCATTTATATAATGCTTGCTTAATTTTTAGTGTTAAGAAAAAGTTATCTTTAGAGTGAAATGGGAGCTTCAAGATATCTTGTAAGCAATTATATGAATCAGAGAAAATTATAGATCTATTTAGTTGATGGGATTCAATATAAGATACAGCTTCTAAAATAGCTATTGCCTCTCCACTAAAAACAGAACATTGAGGAGGGCATTTAAAGTTCAATATAATTTGTACCTAGGTAACCAGACAGCAGCACCCACATCTACACCATCATTCAACTTTGAGGCATCCGTGTAAAATGTCATCCAGCCATTAAACTCAGTTTCAAGAATTCTATTAATTGGATATGGACATTGGGTGAGTTCTTATCTATACCCATCGATAGAATAACCCTAGGCCTATAAACTAGCGCCTCATAATCTACCATAAAAATTGGGTATTTTACAATTTTGAAAACTGGATTAGAAAGGTTCTTTATTTTTCGGTATGACTTAATAAGCAGAGGCAAGTCCTTATGTTTCCAGTAAACAGAAGTAGTTGCTAACTGGGACAAGGAATGTAAGATTTTTAAAAGGGGATGATGGCTGTATTGAACTATATTGCATAAATATCTATCAGCAAGATATTGTCTATGTAGATGAAGGGGAGGTTCTAGACATTCAACTTGTAACGCCAAATTTGGAGAGGATTTCATGGCACCAGTGATGATGCGCAGACATTTATATTGAATTTTCTGAAGTTTGTTTAGTGCATTCTTATTGCAAGGTTCTAACAAAAAAGAACCATAATCGAAATGTGATCTGACAATGGCATTATATAATAATTTTTGATTATAAGGATGTGATGCCCAATGGACACCTGATAAAGATCTCAAAATATTTACACCTTTTTCACACTTATTACTAACATAGTTGAGATGATGTACGCCAGACAATTTAGAATCTAATATAACGCCTAAAAATTTTACTCGATCTAGTACAGCTACAGGATGTCTATTAATAAACAAATTAATGCTTGGAACATGGCGCTTTCTCGTGAATACCACCACATTGCATTTAGAAACTGATAAAGATAAACCTTGACTGTCAAGTCAATCACTCAAATATGCTAATGCAGAGTTAATTTTACCAGCAGCATCATTTAATGAAGATGATACGGCATACAGAACAATGTCATCAGCATATTGTAAAATTTTACAATAGGGTGAAACGGAGTGGTCTAGATCATAAGTGTACACATTATACAATAGAGGACTGAGTACAGAGCCCTGGGGTAACCCCTTCCACACCAATCTAGATGTTTGAATTGATCCATTAGCACGGACAGAAATAGAACGACCACTATATAGATTAGATATAAAATTGACCAGTCTCTCAGGGATACTCACTTGAAGCATTTTATGCCTGAGTATTGGAATCTGGACATTATCATAGGCAGAAGTAACATCCAAGAAAGCGCCGATAACATGCTGGCTATTACTGAAAACCTGACGGATACTGGAGACAAAGATACTTAAACTATCCAGTGTACCCATACCCCTCCTGAAGCCAAATTGATAATTGGATAATATACCCCTATTCTCTAGAACCCACTCTAATCGGTTTTTAATTAAGTGTTCCATAATTTTACATAAGGTAGAAGACAGAGCTATAGGGCGATATGATGAGGCTTCTTCTGGATCTTTGCCTGGTTTAAGAATAGGTATGATAATTTGGGTTTTCCAGGAGTCAGGTATACTGCAGGATAAGAAAATCGTATTAATGATTTTAAGAAATAAAAGGTGAGTAGATTTGCTTGACTTGATAATAAAAGAATAGGGAATTCCATCTATGCCTGGTGAAGAGTCACGAAGATGGTCCAGGGAACAAAGCAGTTCAGGATAGGAAAATTCATCATTCATTTTATCTGGATATATAAAAGAATGAGAATAATCCGTAGGAAGGGAGTCACGGAACGGAACATAAGGAGGAGATAATTTACTAATAAAGTTTGGTAACCAACTATCTGTGTGATGATAAGCAAGACATGAAAAATTATTTTCACAAGACCTGCGAAAAGATTTTATACGTTTCCACACCAAGGATGGAGACGAACGTGGGGACAGAGATTCGCAAAACCTCTGCCAACCTAATTTTTTTTTTTGCTAAGCAATCTTTTGGTTTGTGCACAAGCCTTACGATAAAGTAAATAATTATCCATTGTTAGATTTGAAACATATTTGCTTTCAGCTTCGTTACAATACTGAACACTGATAGTACAATCCCTGTCCCACCAGGGGGGAGAGCGAAGGCGTTTAAGAGAAGTGTTTTTATTGGGGATGGCGAGGTCAGCTGAACTTAGTAGAGAAGTGACAAAATAATTGTAAATATCATGTAAATTAGAGTGGGATAAGGATGTATTGGGGGGAAGAGATGCAAGTTTTTGATCCATTAACTGTGAAAACTTGTTCCAGTCTGCTAAATGAAGTCTGTACTTCAACAGAGGGATGTGATTGACTGTTGAAGGAACAGCTTTACATAAATTTAATACTATGGGGAAGTGATCACTACCATAGGAGTTAGGCAGAACAATCCAATTAATTGAAGATGCCAGAATAGTTGAGGAAAGAGACAAATCAATAGCTGAGGGATTCTGTAATGGAGATGTAACTCTCCTTGTAGGTGACCCATCATTTAATAAACAAAGATTTAAATTGTCCAGCATATCTATGATAAAGTGAGATGAAATGTCACAAGCGAGGGAGCCCCACAAAGTATGCTTACAATTAAAATCTCCCATCACTAAGAGAGGAGCAGGAAGAGAGGAAAGGATAGAGCTTAAGTTTGAAATGATGTTAGGATTGGGGTGGGGAATGTAAACAGAAACAAATGATATGTCATTAATTCTAGAGGCAACAATATGGAATTCTGGGGGATGAGAGGGAATATGAAGCTTGGTAAAGGGAATGGGTCTTTTAATAAAAAGAGCACACCCAGCCCAACCATCATCCCTATCATCCCGCAGACAAGAGTAGCCTGAGAGCCTAAAAATGGAACGAGGCCTCAACCAAGTCTCTGCAATAGCGCAAACTACAGGGTTATATTTGTTAGCTAAAAAATATTAGATCAGCCTTTTTATGACGAACATTCCTACAGTTCCATTGAAGGATGTTGAATGTTACGGTTTTTTTTAATTATGGTTTCTAAGAGCTGTTCTAATAAGGGCAAGACATTGTTCGGTAGTGAATCACTAAATTTTGATACCATGTTAATCAAAGAGCATGTGAGTAGCTCAATCAGATTATCGTTAGGAGTAGCATAAGGAGTAGGACTAAGTGTTCCAAGCGCACTGCGATTAGGTTTGGGAGTTCTAACAATTTCTTGATGAGCATGTTTATCATAAGATTGACTCTGAGGGGATCTAGGACGGGATTGCTGAGGAAGAGATTTATTGTAGACAACAGATGGCGACCTATGAGAGGATGAAGAATGTTCATAAACCGGGAATTGTTGTGAAAGGAGAGGGCAGTAGGCATTATAAGAAGAAGGGACATTACATGGGACCCAAGAAGGGACAGGTGAATTTTTGGGAGAGGAGCAGATTACATCAGCAAAAGATAATTTGGAAATGGGAAAGCGGCGTCATGCTTCAGTATAACTAACATTCTCTTGGGACATTACATGTTTGATATTTTTCTGGCGCAAATGTTCTGGACAGATAGGCTCTGTGGCTTTATGATGGCCTCTGCACAAGAGACAAACAGGATCAGGTACTGTACAGGAGTCCCCAGGGTGTTGTTGAGCACACTTGAAACATCTAGGCTTAGATCGACATTGAGCATGGACATGGCCAAATCTGCAGCAGTTATGGCATTGTATGGTAGGGAGTTGGTATATGGAGACTGGGAGAGAAGCATGGAAACAATAAACTTTATGTGGGAGAGTTTGACCTAGGAAGGTCAACACGACTGTGGTGGATGGTTCCCAAGTTGGTCTAACATTATTGTTTTGCCGATTTTTCACATTTAACCTTCTAGCTCTTATGACAGGACCACAATTTGGAGGGCATTGTATCCCAGAGACCAGTTCTTCAAGGGACCACTCCAAGGGTATTTGGCGGACAACACCCATTCGAGAAACCAGGAACTTTGGGACCTCTGCATTGAAATTATTTTTTTGTAATATAGAATTCTCAATAAAGGAATTAAAGGCTTCTACGTAATTTTCAAATTGAACAGAAATTTTATTTCGGCCTAATACCTTGATGCCATCACACACAATACCAGAAATCTTGTTTTTATGTAGTAGCTGTGCAAAATTAAGTAGTTTAATAGAGAGCCCTTCAGAAGGATGAGCTTCCATACGAGACATGTGGACAGTGAAGGGACCTTGATTAAATTCAGTATACCTAATTTTTTGTCAGGCTCAAAACCAGGTCTAGTGTAAGTATCCTGAATTGAAGCAGCGGGAGTAACGTTTTTTTTTTGGATATACTAGCGATTTCTAAGTCCGCTGGTCTTTTATGAGGACGACTAGGGGTGATAAACTCGGCAGTTATAGGCGCCATGTCTATATCAGAGGATGTGTTTCCTCCTCCACCAGGGGGAGGATCATCATCTCCTGCATCACACATCCTTCTTGTTAAGCGATTACATATAAGACACTTACCAAATTAAATAAACCCACAACCACAAGAACCAACAACAATATGGATACACAACTGAAATAACTAAATCAAACTTCCAAGAAAAATATCACTAAAGCACATGTCAACGTCCGAATCCTTCCGAGCTCGCCGACCAAGTCGAATAAATATTAAATATATCAACGTAAATATTGTCAATTGTCTAGGCTAGTAAATATGGTGTGCAGGTAAGCTGATTGACATACCATGAAATCAATGAGACCCTTGTAATTTACAGTGGTAGGTCATGGGTAGGTGAGTGCAGGTGCACTACCACCGGTTGCTGGTATACTGTGAGGTACTTACCTAAGTACCACAACAATTTAAAGGTGGCAAAGCATCCACCACCCTATGGATATTGCAAATGTCCAAGGGTGGCAGTTGTCGCTAACCGTCAGGTCAACTACCAGCTCGCTTGTCAATTACTCACATAAAAAATACTCAGAAGAAAGGTTTTTAACAATTATTCTTTTTGTTTTAATATATTATCATGAAAAACACATACCATCTTTAAATTCTGTTGATAGAAACTGGGCATTGGATGTTTCCCCATGTTCCTCATCAGACATTGTTCATTAAAACTGGAAAAAGGACAGTATTATCTGAAATTTATCATATCATTAAAAATTAAAATAGTATTTAACATGAAAGGCACAACAGATAAAAATAAAATGAAAAACAACTTGCATAATCAGTTTCATATTTATTCAATTAACATACAGACTATGCACTAACAATTTGATAATAAAGTAAATTAAAAAATATATTATACTTTTAAGTAAACACATAACATAATTTTGAATAAAAATGATGAAGAAGGTTGATTTTACTGGAAATTGGCAAAGTCTAAGTTACCACTGTTACGAAGTACATAGATGAAATTAAGAGTTTATATTTAAAAGCAACATGTAATGGGGAAAAGTTGTTGATCTGATATACCTACTCAAAAACCTGCTCATTTTGTAATTCTAAATATTAAATAGGATTTGAGAAGATCCCGCCCTTTTCAAGTGCTCTTTTATTATACATTAGATTACAAAATCATAAGACTATCTATTCAAGTATACCTAATGCTTTATATATACCCATGAAAGTAATATTTAAAGAAATAAAAATCCGTAAAACAGCATCATTGGCACCAAAACTGTAACTGTTAGCCACTGGTGCACATCACATTAACATTGTTGAACCGGAAGAATTATTCATCTTTCTTTTAGTTCCATATATTTTGAAACGAAATTCATTTTTTATTTATATTATAGTAAAATAAAATGTAACACTATGGAAATTGTTTATTTCGAATTCTAAATTGTAAAACCAAAGATGTCAAAACAAAATTTTCTTGCAACACTTATATTACTTGGTGTTTCTATAATGACGATATTTTAATTTGTTTATTGTAAATTGCAACAATCATATACTCACGTTTAATGGCAACAATTCCGATAATTGAAAATACACACTAGAATTATAAACAGAAAATTCAGTTCCGTGCAATAATATGTCGTAACCTATCAAAAAAGTCAAAACACCATGTACGTGATGTTTCATCGAAACACAAGCGCCATTTTCAATGAAATAACTATAAACTTTTTTCAAACATGCAATGATTTATATTTATACCATGGAGCCGATGTTGCCAACTTGAATACCAACACGAATCCGATACTCTATTCGCTGCGTAAAGCCTAAGCTCCCTATAATATTTGTAAAAGGGAATTTACTATCAGTCTTTACGAATGTTGACAATGTTCATTTTTATGCAACATTTTTTTAAAATAAAATATGAAATAAACATGGACTAATGGTATGTAATAATTACAAAAATGAATATTAATTGTGACATCATTATTTTGCCCTTAAAAAACAAAAACTACTTTCGTCGTACAAATATTTATTAATAAAATTCGTAATACCACTCCCATAACACATATTTAAATTTTATACTAGAACACTTTTACAAACACAAGTGTTTCACATTGTTATGGGTGCATTCATAATTATATTAGACAACTTGCACCTAAGTGCATCTTGTAGAGTCAGTCAGTACGATCGTACCCTAGATAACGCAAACGAAAATTTATGTTTAAGGAAATTTTTGAAGAGGCAATTTTTGAGGAATTCTTAGACGAGATAATCTTGTTTATTTGGTCTTCTTTAATTCGATTTTTAAATAAGCTTCGTATATAATAACTGAAGATAGAACTGGTATATTTTATTCAAAATTTTAATTTATGTTCATTAAAATTCCCCAAAAGGGGAATTCTGAAAAGGGAAACTGGAAACCCTAGCGCAGAGCTAAAGCGAAATGTAGTACCACTTGCTATCTCTTTTATACTTATGAAGACTTCGTATATTTTATTAAAAAACACTTATCATGAAAATAAAAATAAATATAAGAAACTGTTAATTGAAATATGTCGTAAAAACATTTATTCTAGGTTTAAGTCTAAATTTTAACACATTAATGCAGTTAGATCGGGCATATTTTGATTTTCGAGAGCAAGTCGTAAAACACGCTATCAAAGATTTTCAATGCCTTTGTATATAAGTCAGCTTTAACACACTACTCTACGGGAGGTCCGTAGCTACTACGTAAGCCGGTATTGGCGAGGATCCGGTCTAATTCCTTGCCATCGGATATGTCGCAATGCGGTTATATACAAAATGATGAAGCAATATAAAGCGGATCATAATAAGAGGAATATTACGTCAGATAATGTCAAGAAAATGCTAAAGAGGAGCTTTGTCTCTCATCCACACGGCAGTAGCTAATCAGACTTCCTTTTTTCACTGATTCTGGAATAAAATTACATCAATTAGTGCTTAATTTAGTTTTTACAGATAATTGCTTTTTAATATTGAACTTGTTTTGATACACAATTTAGTTTTTGTTGCTTTCTTTTTTAAAAAAATACGTAATGACATAATTAAATTATTTTAAGGATAGAGTTTTATTTTGAATTAAGTATTTACAGTTTTATATTTTATGTATATTAATGTATAAGGGCTTTCAATATTGTTTATTAAATGTTGTTGCCGAGTTTTAGATAGTAGATATAGTATTAACTATTTTTCGAAAACTCGGAAAAAAGATTTAAATAATATTTTCTTTTATTTACGCCATTACACATTATATACGAAACTAATTTTACGGATTTAATTTTAATTCGCATACGTCTGTGCCGTGACCATGGACGCTGTAAAGGGTTGGAAAATTTGGGAATTAAAATTAAAAATAAACGCGATAAATCGGTAAAATTAGTTTCATTTATAAGACTTACATATTTGTACATTCGCGAATACTTGGAACTTTCATAATTTCTCTTATAAGTAAAACTATACTTCTTATATAGTAAAACTATTTTTCTTTTCTTTGAGTAAACTGAACAAATAAAAAAATATCTGGACTTTCCATCCCAAAAGGAGTCCGCAAAAATAAGTACACTATGTTAGTAGAGTCGACTCTACCAACATTATCAATGTTAAGAATAATAACATGCCTTAGATTCTTAAAATAATGTATATTAATGACATGATTAAAATACTACAGGTGTGTCTGAAAATTATTTATATTTTTCAAGGTGTTTATTTGTCGGTACGCCAGAACTTTCTCAATTATTCATTAAATTTAATGATTCTAACACAAGCTATATAAGCTTCAAAACTAACATAAACATAAGCTTCAAAATGAGCTTATGTTTCACGTTATTGACGAAAAAAGACAAGTAGGATAAAGTTACTTTCATAAAAAACTTTCATTTTAATTTTTTCTTATAATAAATGATAATGTCATCTATTGACAATTAGAATAAAGTTGAGTGATGTTACAATTCATTAATATCACGGTACTATGTGAAAGAGTCAAATAGGTTTATTAATATGTTAATATTGCTAATAATATAACCAAGATGCCATGAAAACCAATTATTCGTCACGAAAAACCCAACAGTATAATATATACAAATATATTTTTATAGCCAGTTGAACAAACATAAAAAACATCACCATCTTGCGGAAAATCAATAAAACTAATTTCCTGTACCAAACAGGATAGCAACAAGGAAAGTGGGTGTGGCGCTATTGTCGCAATTCCAGAACATGTTTTGTTTGCCTTATCAGCCTCGCAAATTATTTCATTTTTGATTAAGAAAACCATAATCTATACCACTCGCAATGAAAATTATTTATATTTTTAAAAATAAATGAATATGAACGTAAAATGACTATCATTTATCCAGATTTTATGAAGTGTAAATGTGTTGTAAATATCTTGGTATCTATAAGAGTCATCGGTTCTGTAGTGTATAAATAGATGGCGCTTTTATATAATTTTAATTCCTTAGATTTCACAAAAAGCTCAGAGCTATTAAATTAACTAAAATTTTGAATTTATTTAAGTGATAGAATGAAGTTGAAATATTGATTTTTGATAGTTCTTTAATTTTTAAAGTAAAACTGTATTCTTTAAATTATGACATGTTAATATATACAATAATCTCACCTCTGACGTTCAGAGGTTTAGGGCGAAGCCAAAAACCTAAAGTTGAATAGTAAACAAACTAAATATATCAAATTTACAAATTGTAAAACGTGTAAATACTGATGTACAACTAAATGAGGAAGCGTTAGACCCTATTAGTTTGTTCCTAGTATTTATATCATATTAATGTATAAAAATTCAAATTCTTGAAAATTCATCCTTATTTTTATAGACATAGCATTTTCAAATATGTACTAAAAAGCAACAATCAATCTTTTTATTTCTTTAAACAAATTTCTTAGGGATTCTTTTGGGCCCAGGATATGAACTAAGTAACTAACATGGAAGCTAAACAAAACCCGACACAAAAATGATTTTTTGAAATCGATTAATCAATTGCGAAGTGCAGAGTTAGCAATATTATTTTTTGACGTTAGTTGAAAAATGTAGAGACGCGAGAGTATTAATTATTAGAAAAATGTTTTCTTTTTTGATATTGCCATAGATTTTTCATCTACAAATATCGATCCGCACATGGTCTCCCAAAATGATAAACAGATTGATAAACAGGATTTTCGTTATTAGACCTCATTTTCAACATATATCTATTTAAAACAAAAATGTTAAAAATTGGCTGAGATTTTACAGGTTTCCTTAAAGTTCCAATACATATTAATATAAATACATTGACGCGATATGTCTACGACAATGTATATCTCAAATAGTGAAAGGTATTTTAAATAATATTCTTCATTTTCATTATGTTATTATTATCATTTTGATAGAGTCGCAAAAACACTACTTTGAGATTTTGGCCAATTTAAAAGGCATTAGAGTCATTACCTAGTGCCGGCTTAGTAAGTCATTCAGTTTATGGAAAAATATGAAAAAAATCAACAATGCAACACTTCAAAAAGAGCGTAAAACAAAACATTCAAACAAATTGACGATCCGATTGGCGTAGCGGGTAGTGAACTAGCTTCTTGCGCCAGAGAGTGTGGGTTCGATGCCCACTAATGGAAAAATATTGTGTGTAAGCATAGTGTTTTTCCAGTGTGTGGTTAATGTATTTATAATTTGTATATA